ATACTCACTTGTAGCAACCACTCATCCAACGGCCATCCTGGTAGCAGGAATTCTGTTCAGAGCAACAGCCAAATCCATTGAGTGACTTGCACATTCAAAATATATTGCTTACTTACTACCTTTATTGTACTTTGTGGCAGTTAAGCTGTGCCACATTACCACTTCCACAACTAACATGTTGGCTCTCACCCAGTGTCCAAACCGAGCATCAAGTTTTGCTTTGCTCCAAACGGCAGCTTCTTTGGAGAAAAATACATATCAGTCCCCTGTTCTGTTGAGCCAAGGATTATAGCTTGTTGCTGCTGCTCATTAGTAGGGAGAAGTAAAGTGAGAATGATCTCTGCATCCATGGTAAACCATAACCATAGCTTACCATGTACATCTAAATGCAACTGCAGTGTAGATTCTCTTTACAGTTCTTATTTGCCATCATATAGTCTTGAGAGGTGTTGCTTTTATTTGAACAGGTACAAAAAGGAAATGAACAGCGACCTGTTCTGAACCCTGATCTGCCCTGGTTCTCTACATGTGCCATACACTTTATTCTGCTGCTCTGCCCCCATGGGTGGATATAGTTTTGTTTTCTTCTTTTGGTACTCTACAACTTCATTCATCATTTTTTTGTAAGCTTACTGGGCAGCTGGTATCAGTGAAGAGGTGATCAGAGGCTGCAGTTTGTAAATTCTTCCTTTCCTTGATGAAACTGGTTGTTTTTAGTAGTACTGAGACCTTTCATTGAGTAATCATCATGTGACCTTACTAGTCTCTGTAGATTCCAGAGCAGCATCTGATAAACACAGGTTTCAGGAAATGCTGACATCCTCTCCCAGCCAGTTGCCAGAAGCATATGATTCAGTATTCTGAAGTGAGTTAGATCTTATGATAATGCTAAAACACACTTCTGAGGAAGATAAATAATTGTTTGCTTGAGTAATCGCCACTTAAAATGTGAATTCGGTATTTGTCCCCCCTCATAAATTTATGACTGCTTCCTACATGCTTTTTAAAATGTGCAGTGAAGTGAACATGAAGTGACCTCAAAACATGTGTCTTTGGGATGTGATCAGAGAGGAGTCTTAGAGATGTATCTGGCAGAATTCAAGCTTGTCTGCTGTCCATTTGTCTCATACTTGTGCTCTAATCTTACACATCACAAAGATGTGTGTCTGTGCCATTTTCTAGTTGCTTTCCTACATAGATTGTAAGAATGCAATTAAGGAATAATACTGTGGATAACATTTTTTAGAACATTGTACTTAGTGGTACATATGCACACAAGCTTATTTTTCAGTTTGAACCTCTGCTTTGCAAATCCTTTTTCTTTTTTGAAGGCAACACAGAAGCTGTGGCAGTGCCTCTGGAAGATGGGCTTTATTCCTAATTCTGTTCAGACGCTATGCTGGGCCAACTGGCAATCCCCCCTCCAACTGCTCCCCACACTTTCCCCAGATTAGTGTTAAGTATAATTAAGCATTTCCAGTGTAACCATAGTTACCACTAGGCATACGTTGCCTTTAATTTGGAAATTGAAACCACGATTAGCCCTTAAATCAGAGATTGAAATTAGCTAGCCATAGTTAGCAGTTACAGTAGGCTCACATATTGTGTGGGGGTTATGTTCCGGGGGCTGCATGTAAAGCTGTAGAAAAGTTCTTTTGGGGTGCTCTCAAGCTGCTAATGACTTGACTGGAGTGCAGTAGAGACTTTCTTTAATATTAGGTGTATGGCTTACATTCAGTGTTCGAAACTGCTATTCCAGGTGCATTTTGCGACAGGGAATTTCATTAGTGCGAGCAGTTTCTGAAGATTTTAGAGTAGAGCTGCAGAGTGGAGGGGGAGAAGAGAGTTATCTGTTGAGGACTCCCTATTCTTGAAGACTTTTTTGCATTCTTAGTGCACATTTACATTTTATTTCCTTTCCTTTCCATTAATTGGCCAAACAGAGTTTACAAATCACTAGTTATACAGTGGTACCCCGGGTTACATACGCTTCAGGTTACATACTCTTCAGGTTGCAGACTCCACTAACCCAGAACTAGTACCTTGGGTTAAGAACTTTGCTTCAGGACGAGAACAGAAATCGTGCGGCGGCGCAGCAGCAGCAGGAGGCCCCATTAGCTAAAGTGGTGCTTCAGGTTAAGAACAGTTTCAGGTTAAGAACGGACCTCTGGAACAAATTAAGTACGTAACCAGAGGTACCACTGTACTCGCATTAGACTTTGCAAAATGTCAGTCAATGCTGTTGGAGGATTTGACTTCATGCTTCATAAACCACCTGTTCTGAGGACCTTAGCCTGCTTTTGAAGTCTTTATCTGCTTAGTTTTTCACTTCCTCTATACTTCTGTGGTGTTTTTGCTTAGGACTGTTTCGTGAAGAGGCTGCCGGGAAACTTGCAAGCAAAGATGTACTACATTTGAAATCCCTTCTCCACAATGGTTGCCAATTATCATCTTTCTGGAAATTGTGCTATCCATGTTATTAGGCCCAAGCCACAACATAATCAGCTTGTAACAGACTGTATTTTTCCAGACCTGTTAAGTTTCATTTCTGAGAGGCCTCTGAGAGCAAGCTACTGTTGCACTACTTCAGTCATGCCTGTTTGAAGCGTCTCATGTTGCCATTTTGGTGCTTTAAATTTAAACTGTAAATCCAAGTGAAGTCCTTGGAAGAAGTCATTTGAAAACAGCACACTATGGGGTGGAAGAACCCACAAATAGTTCATTCCTGGGATGGCACAGACTGTTTTAAATAGTACCTTGGCACAAACACCATTGATGTTACCACACTGAGAAGGCAGAGTCTGCCAAGTCCCAAAATGCCACTTAGCAATTTGATCTATTCCTTGTCACTTATTGCAATGATGTCTGTTTACATGCTAGGGTTCTTTGTCCCAGTTCAGGGAGATTATACTGGATCAGGTGCATTGGTTATGATCCAGTGTAGTAGTGTGATTGGAATGGGGGTAACAGAATGTAGGAAATGATAGGTCACAAAAAATGGACACAAAAAAGTCAAGGTAATAATAATAAAATAATAAATTAATAATAAAAAGGTAACCCATAAGTTGAAACAATAACATAGACCAGTGACCAAAATATTCATCTCTATGACCTCCAATCTGTTAGCCATTGGACTATGATACTGTTTTTATAAAATTATCATTTAAAAGTTGTCCTGTACAGTGGTACCTCGGATTACATACGCTTCAGGTTACATACGCTTCAGGTTACAGACTCCGCTAACCCAGAAATAGTGCTTCGGGTTAAGAACTTTGCTTCAGGATGAGAACAGAAATCGTGCTCCGGCGGCGGGGCAGCAGCAGGAGGCCCCATTAGCTAAAGTGGTGCTTCAGGTTAAGAACCGTTTCAGGTTAAGTACGGACCTGTGGAATGAATTAAGTACTTAACCCGAGGTACCACTGTATATGGAGTAGATTTATATTTAACTTATAAGTCACCTTGACTTTTTTGTATCTATAAAGTATTGGGCAGGAAATACATTTACCGTATTTTTCGCCCTATAGGACGCACTTTTTCCCCTCCAAAAATGAAGGGGAAATGTGTGTGCGTCCTATGGGGCGAATGCAGGCTTTCGCTGAAGCCTGGAGAGCGAGAGGGGTCGGTGCGCACCGACCCCTCTTGCTCTCCAGGCTTCGCGGACCTCTCCGCAAGCAGCGGGAGCGCTCCCGCTGCTTGCGGAGAGTTGCCTGCATGCCGAAGCCTTCGCGCGCTGAGATCAGCGCGTCCAGGCTTTGTGGACCTCTCTGCAAGCAGCGGGAGCGCTCCCGCTGCTTGCGGAGAGTTGCCGGCATGCCGAAGCCTGCGCGCGCTGAGATCAGCGCGTCCAGGCTTCGCGGACCTCCCCGCAGGCAGCGGGAGCCAGCGCTGCGCTCCCACGGCTTGCACAGAGCTGCCTGTTTGGGGGCTGGGGTCGGGGGAAGCTTGGGCCTCCCCCGCCCCAGCCCCGCGCCTGGGGGGGAAATAATTTCCCCCCCTTTATTTTCCCCGCAAAAAACTAGGTGCGCCTTATGGGACGGTGCGTCCTATAGGGCGAATAATACGGTACCTTGTTTGTTCTTGATTACTCAGTGTTTATATTTCTCCACTATCATTATTCATGATACTTTTCTCAAACTACTGGCCTCAGATGATACTGCTATTTAAGAACTGTAGTTCTGAACTGTTATATTTTTTTCTTTGTCATGTTTTGTACAGTAAGATGAAGTAGAATACTATGTGTGTGCTTTGAATGTTCAGGTCAGAAATGTGGGTCACAGAAATGTGGGATGCGCCAGTTTGTTTCCCTGGAGGGAGAAAAGACTATTGATGCTTGACAGAATTCAGGAGTATTCTTTGGTTAACTGCATTAGAATCTGTACACATGCGGAGGATGAAAAGCTATCGTGAATGCAGTTCATTCCTTCCTGTGTGGCACCTCAAAAGTTAGTAAAACAAATGCCTTCTTTGTAGTTGAGTGGCTACAACATTGACTCAGATGCTAGCAGTGATCATCTGTTGAAGGAATGGGGGCTTTAACAGTCCTCTGGAAGGAAGCAGCTGACTAAATTTTAATTGTATTATTATTTTATTTTTTCAAACTTTTGTGGGAATATGATTTGAGGGCAGTAAAAAAGTATATATAATGACTCCTATTGGCCTTTTAAAAAATTGAACTTGCTTTTGATATCTAACTTTATTGGTAATCTTAATGTATATTTATTGTAACTTGCTAAGAGGTTTTGATCAAGTGCTATATAAATCCTGTTAAATAGGAAAAATAAATCAGGAGGAACAAATGCTGCTTGGAATCGTGCACTACAGAGGGCTAAACTAGATGTGTTATGAGAGATTGCCTATGTTTAACATTTTAAAAAGCTTCAGTTATCTGGATTAGGGTCATAGCACTAGGGGGAGTGCTGACCAGGGTTCTTTGCAAGGAGCTTGCAAAAAAATGCTTTTGCATTCTTTGCAGGTCGCTTCAAGGATTGACTGTGGAGTTCCCCATGAGGAAATCAGTAGCACAGGTTTTTTGTTTAATGTATTTTTTATTAAAGATTTCTTGGTTTATAAAAGTATGTGCAATGACTTTTTTCAAGTTACATTTTCTACAGATCAGTTTCATTTGTTGAGACATTAGTGTTATATTAGGAAGAAAAGGGGGGGAAGAGGTGGAGGGGGCCATGGTGGGTGGGGTTGGGTGGCGATTTTTCTATTTTACTTAATGTATGCGTGGGGTTTTGTGTCAGTGTCACTTGTGCAAGTTCTCTGCTAAAAATCAATAGCACAGCTGATACCAGGAAGCTTGAACTGAGCACCTGTCAGCACAACCAGGAGTCTACTTTAAGGTTGTGCACTGGCAACCATGTTTCCACCTGCCCTCAGCTGATGTCACATACCATGTCAGATTTGGAACAAGTTTTGTGTAGTATAAGGGAGATAGCAGGCTAAATTGGGACCCATGCTGGGCCTAATTGGGTCACAGTCTGGAGATTCCCCATACCTCTAGTAGAGCTTCTAGCCTCCATCAGCTATAGTGCTTTGTCTATGCCTTCAATGTAGTCTTGAAGTGCTACCCTATGTTTTTGTTGGCATGCCAAAGCAGTTCATTATCTTTGTGCTTCTGAACAGATAATGTTGTAGAGCCACTCTGCCAATTTCTATTCATTATTCAGGTGTTAAAGAAAGGGCAGTTTGAAACCTTTCTGCCTCTCACTGTCTGTAGGGCAGGAACAAACCTTTGCTCGGCTTAAACGGCTGACCAGATTTTACTTCTATGATCTTATTCAGTGGGTGATGGAAGTGTTAGTTCCAGTAATTACAGGTCTTACCACCTGGCTGAAAAGCCAATGCCTGCTTTAAAATGTGATCATTTGCATATTCCTTAGCTGGATTTGTTCCGACTCCGTTAACCCTTCTTTGAATAGCATGGTACATTTTGGGTGTGTTTTTATTTTGTTTTCCCAAAACATTTAAAGTGGGATTCAATTTAAATGCAACAATGCATCTTCAGAGAACTCTTGGTGGCCTGGTTCAACCCAGACTTAAGGTAAAGGTAAAGGGACCCCTGACCATTAGGTCCAGTTGTGACCGACTCTGGGGTTGCGGCGCTCATCTCGCTTTATTGGCCGAGGGAGCTGGCGTACAGCTTCTGGGTCATGTGGCCAGCATGACCCAGACTTAAAACATTTTAATTGCTGATAAAAAAATATGCCAATCACCCATACTCATTTCTTTTGAGATGAATAGAAGGTGAGGTATAGTTCTACTTGTTGCTTTGGAATGCTGAGAGTCCTGGGGCTTGTCTGAAACCAGTAGGCCATATCAGGAGCTTCCTATTAAACACTCTGGATTTTGCAGGTGACCATGATCATGGACTGTGAAGAAATCCCTGAGTTCTCATGTCCAGAGGAAGAAACTGCATACTGGAAGGAGTTATCTTTGAAATATAAACAAAGGTATGGTTCTAGTAGTAGTTTACTGAGTTTCATTTCTAGGTAGTTAATGCATTTAAATTGCTTTCTTTGAGGTAACCTTTTAAATGTCTGTTGCAGCAGTAAGAAGCAAGTGGTTGGAAGCCACGTGTCTTCAGCAAAGCTGTGAGCTATGTGCTCTGGGATGCAGGAAAAGAATTTCTTTGTCAGTGGCCTTGCACTGTTTGAAATCTGCCTTTGCAAACAATGGGGTCCTTTATCATCTCAAGAATGCTGCTGATTGCTGCCTTTGGCAGATTAACCCCACAGTGAAGCATGAGACAAACTGTATATCTTTAAAAGTTCTAGTTTTACTGAAGTTTAGTTTAGGTACAGTGCAGCCTAATTTTGGTAAATAAGGTCGTTCTCAGATTATAGGAGCTTCTGACTCCCTCTAGTGATTAGGATGCTGTTTAAGCCTCTGATTCTTGTATATTGCATGATAGCAGCCCAGCACATGCGTGATCTGAATGAATTCAGTTTCCTGCCTGAATACTGGTATGGAATGAAAGACAAAGACAGCCATTATGGGCTACCAGAAACACCCCCCCCCCAACACAGAGATTAGATAGATAGTAGATTCATTGTTCTGACTTGGTGGGTAATTTTTGTATAGTCTTGTAGTCTTGTTAGCTTCTTCTTGCCTAGAGCAGTATGGTTTGAAAAAGGAAAGGAAAAAAAGCAGTGATGTTGGCTTCCTGAACAAGGTGTGTGGTGTGAGTTTTTAAGGAGTTAACACAGGGATGGGTAGAAACTACTCTATTGGGAAATTTGCGGGGGATTGGCAGTGGTTTTCAATTTTTATTTTTTTAGCAATAGCAAAAAGGATTCAACAGCATCCTCAGATTATTAGTACCTTGTTTATTCATCACTTTTAAGAGTCTCAAAGTGACTTACAGTTTTTTATCTAAAGGCACTCATCCAGTAATATTGTAAAAAAGTTGAAGCCTAGAGTACCCAAATCAAATATTAACACCACAAACAGGCCAGAAAACATACTACAGTATTATCCCAATTAATCAAAAGCCTGGGCAAATAGGAATGTCTTAGCCTGGTGTCTGAAAGCTGACAGTGATGGTGCTAGGTTTTCATAGGGAGAGGATTCCACAAATGGATCGCAACCCTTGAAAAATCCCATTCTCAGGTTGTCACCCTCTATACCTCCCTTTGAAGAGGCACACAGAGAGGGGCCTCTGAAAATCCCTGGGTTTGGGTAAGTTCATACAAGGAGAAGTGGTCCTTAAAGTATTGCGGGTTCAGAGCAGCATAAGGCTCTATAGGTCAAAACCCACACTTTGAGTTGCACTCAGAAACTGTTAGCCAATGTAGTCAGGCCAGATCGGTGTTACTATGTTCAGACCATCTGATCCCATTTAAGTCAACAATCTATCTGCTCAATTTTGCACTGGCTGCAGTTTACAAATACCTTTCAGTAGTTACCCAGATGTGGGCAACGGAAGCTAGGCCAGGGGTTGCAAGCTTTTTTGGAGCAGTGGGCAGTTTTTGAATTTTGAGAGTGCTGTGGGCACCCTGCATAAATGGCATGGCATAACCCAAAATTAGAGTACATTCATGATTAATCTTTCCCCATATTTATATTTCCGTACTAGAAACAGCTTAGCCTGTTGTATTTCAGCTAGTCATACAGATGTTAAAGGCATATATTAGCAAACTACTTAGATGCCATTGTAGTTAAGTGGTAAATAAATTGTTTAAATAAAATAAATACAAACCCTGATTTTCCACAGTGTCATCCCTAAACCAAAGCCTACGCTGCCTCATTAAACTTGAAGAGACTTGCTTCTGAGTAGACTTGTAGACCATTGTATAGTAAATTAACTATACAGTGAATTGTGAATGAGTTCAGAGACATGCCTAAGCCTCTTTGCAAAGCCTTCACTTTTGCCTTTTGCAGGGACAGGATTCTTTAACATCCAGCCACACTTACCGTGAAATATTTTTAGAAAATAACTTATAGGGAGAGCCAGTGTGGTGTAGTGGTTAGGAGCAGTGGACTCGTAATCTGGTGAACCGGGTTCTCGCCTCCGCTCCCCCACATGCAGCTGCTGGGTGACGTTGGGCTAGTCACACTTCTTTGAAGTCTCTCAGCCTCACTCACCTCACAGAGTGTTTGATGTGGGGGAGGAAGGGAAAGGAGATTGTTAGCTGCTTTGAGATTCCTTAGGGTAGTGGTAAAGCGGAATATCAAATCCAAACTCCTCCTCCTCCACCTGATTTCAGGTGAACTCATCACAGGAAAGATGGATTCTGGTTGCTAGGGGAAAAGGAAGGGCAAACTACAAATATTCCACTGGTTAGAGAGTAAGTTAGGTGCAGGAGAAGTGCCCTAAAGGGGAGGGGGAAACAGCAGCTCTCTGGGGCCCCAGGGATTTCTACTGCTTGTTGTCCAAACTTGTTTATTAATCTCTTTATTAACTTTAAACAGTATAGCATCACAAGAGACACAGTATTTTGAATAAGCATGTGTCTCAAGTGACACAAAGGATTCTATTGTTTGGAAGACTATTTTTTTCTTTCTATGGGGATTCACATAGATAGTGTGCAGCAATTCTTTCAGTAGGCTTTCAGCAAGAATCGTGGTTAACCTCCACACAATAATCCTTCACATAATGCAGCAGTAAATACTTTTGGTCCTTTTGAGGTTCAGTGGGAAGAAGTAGTTATGGGCTTGCTAATACCATATTGACAGGATGGAGGCATGGTTGGAGTAATGTCTCACTCAGCATCACCATTCTTCTGACAGTTTCCAGGAGGCCCGTGACGAGCTGGCAGAATTTCAGGAGGGCAGCAGAGAACTGGAAGCAGAGTTGGAGGCTCAGCTGGTACAGGCTGAACAGAGGAACCGGGACTTGCAAGCAGACAACCAAAGATTAAAGCAAGAAGTGGAAACTTTAAAGGTACAACTGCATCTGTTAGCGGTGTTGGTGGAGGCAAATCTGGAATAGGAAATTATCGTTGCATTTATAGCTCACTTCATTATCAAGACATTGTTCTAAAGCCACACTTAGGTTTCAGGGCCAGTTAATTGTGGCCTATCCTTTCTCTTATTTTCATAGTCTCTTAGCCCACCAGATTTTCAAAAGTCACTGGAAAGTGAGCAGCCTAACAAGCCTTGGAGCTTAAAACTAGTGCTCAGTGTCTATTAAAGGGCTTTTAAGAGTGAACATTGGTGTATTCAGATGCCTTTTACACGTGAAAGGACTGCTTGGTGCTATGAGTACACTGTGGGAAGAGAAGATGTTTTGGCAGAATCCTATCTGAAAGGTGTATGCATTGCTGTTGGCAGCACTCTGGTTGCAAGGCTATAAGAGTTTAGTTGAAGTTCAAAGACACAGTGAACTGCCATACTGCCTTGACATGCTTCTGGAGAATTGCGTTCTCTCCCATAAACCTAAAGGTACTGTAACTTGGATCTTCTGTACTAAGAGTACTTGGTTACTTATAACCATCCAGTATAATGAAAAAACATGCTTGCTTTATGGTCTTAGATGAGGGCTTGAGCATACTGTATCCACTACACCCCTTAAGACGAGCTGTCCCTATCAATATGAACCTCTTACCTGAGGGGCTCTTTTGTAGCTACACATCTCATATGTGAATTTGCTTTTCAGAAATGTGGTAGGCATTGAGAAAAAGAGAAGAAAATTGGTTAAGTCCTGCTGGGTGTGACTTGGTCTGCTTGTATTGGCTAGGTAGTCTGTAAATGTATCTGCAAATATGAATGTGTGTTTGAGGAATCAGCACGGGGGTAGCAGGAATGCTTCTAAATCACTTTGTTAATTTCAAAGCAGCAGAATGCTTAATACTCTTATGCTTTCAGGAGAAGCTTGAGCACCAGTATTCACAAAGCTACAAGCAAGTGTCTTTGTTGGAGGATGACTTGAGTCAGACCCGGGCAATTAAAGACCAGCTGCATAAATATGTGAGAGAGCTAGAGCAATCCAATGATGACCTTGAGCGCGCTAAGAGGTAAGGGTCATGGTGTTGGGTGGTAGTCTGTTCCCTTCCTGAGACAGATACTTCCTTATATTGCCTTGCTGCTCAGGTTTTTGTTTCAGTAGCTTCCAAAGAACCTTGTATGCTATAAATAGTGAATTGATACTGATGCAGTTGTGTAACTAAAACATCTACAGTGCTTATCATATTTCCAAAACCTCTTTCATGTGGTAGCCTCTTGGGTTAGCAAAAAATATGATTGAATTTTGAAGCATTAATGTAAAACATGCAATGACTATAATTTCTATTTATACAACAAATTATTCTGCACAGTCCCCATATATATATATATATATATATATATATATATATATATATATATATTGTGTGTGTGTGTGTAGTGTTTGTGCCTGGTTGGACTGATTCTCTCCAGAATGATAAATTAGCATTCAGAATGTGCTGTGAGGAAAGTGGTCAATGATTTCTGCTACATCTATAGCCCACAGGATCAGCTTGGCACCAAATGTGCCAAAAAATATTATTTTATTTTACTTATAGTTAAGTATATATAATAGTTAAATGTTGTACATCATGAATAGGAGCCGCAAATACCTTTAAAATGAAATCCTGCTCTCAGGGGTTTAGGGGCATCCTTGCAAATAAATTCAGAAAGTTTGCTGACCACAAACTAACCATGACTTATAATATGATAGTTTTAGAAGTGACTCTTGAATGTGCACTGAAGAGCTGTATCCTCTGTTTTTCTCTGTGTGTGTCTAGGGCCACAATTGTTTCCTTGGAAGACTTTGAACAAAGACTGAATCAAGCCATTGAGAGAAATGCCTTTTTGGAAAGCGAGTTAGATGACAAGGAATCTCTGCTAGTTTCTGTACAAAGGCTGAAGGATGAAGCAAGAGGTATTGCTAAATTAATGCTTAGTTAATGAAGATGGAATCTGGTTGTGAAGGAATAAATAGGAACTTTTAGAATGAACCGTAGGTACAGATGTAAGCCAAATCGTAATATATTGTCATATCGTGAAGTTTAGCTGGCGATATATTATAATGCTGGAAAGCAGGTATTGCCTAGCCATACTGGGAGGTTCAAAGAAACAGTAAAAGGGCTTTGAACTACTACTGGTTTCCAAGCGCCAAACAGCCAGGTGGGTGCCTGGAAAGTTCACACAAGGTATTTTGAGAGATGGGTGGCATTGCCCACCTATCAATCATGTGATGTCATAATGATGTCATGTCATGAAGCCTATTACAAGGCTTACAAGGCTGATCCTGATAAGGATTTGACCTGTGGAGGCAAAAAGGTTTCCCAGCCATGCTTTATGTAGTGGATATCATATTTCAGAATATGAATCAACGATCTATTGGACATCAGCAGACCAGATTTGATGAGGAAATACATATTAAGTAACTTTGAAACCCATCTGTACTTATGTAATCTCCTTTGGAAATCCCTGACTTATGGAACATTTCTCGGAATAGGCTTCAGCAGTACGTAGATAAAGGCATGTCTGGCACCTTCAACATTCTTTCTGCGGCACCCCTGTGAGGCTCAGGAGCCCAGTTATGTCACCCCTTGCCTGCAGAGCTGGCAGCCACTCACCGTTTTTCAAACATGCTCCCTTGTGGAGTGTTCCCTTAGCCTCCTCTCCCCTCTCCTTGGGAGTCGTCTGGGCAGCTGCCGCCCCCGCCCCTGGTCTCTTGAGTTGCTCTCCTGCCACAAAGAGAGGTGCCTCTTCACGCTGCCCCACAAGGTCCTGGGACTTGTCTGTCCATTCCCAACATCAAGGGCTGGTGGACTGGTTGACTGGGCTCCCTTGCCTGCCTGCCTGCCTGCCTGCTTGCTTGCTTGCTTACTTTGAGGCAACCTCAGCTCCTGGCAACCAGTACCTGGCAAGACACTAAAAAGACCTTGCTGTGCCATTCTGCACAGACCTCTTGTCTCTCCCTGTTGTGGTGTGCTGCCTGCACTTATAATTTGGTAAAATAAAATAAGTGTGTGTATATTTTATAGACTTGGGTTCTTTTGACTTTTCAACAAAAATTGTCTTTTCCACAATGGAAGTGTGAGGTGCTATTCAAAATATGAATATGCTGTGTCAGCCAAGCAGATGCTTGATTGCCAAGGAGTACATTCATAAAAGCTAGTGAGAGGAGGGAGGTGAATTTACCTGATGGGCAGTTTGCCTTTGATTAAGGGTTATTAGTTATGCTACTTCTGTGTAACTTGCATTGATAGACAATGGAAATTGTTCATTATTGACGTCAAGCTTTAGTTCAAAGGAAGTCTTGTCCAAGTTAGGCTTTGAGATCAAGTCATGCAGCTCCAGCCAACATTCTGTTTGTGTCTCATTTGGCCTTTACAACCTACTGTGATGGTAGGAATCTCCAGAGAAATGAGTACAACAGAAGTTGGAGGGTAAGGTGGATGTGTTGTCTGTGTAATGGGACACATCTGCAATATATTCTTCTTCAAACTTACAGATTTAAGACAAGAATTAGCAGTACGGGAAAGGCAACAGGAAGTGACCAGGAAGTCAGCTCCTAGTTCCCCAACCTTGGACTGTGAGAAGATGGATTCAGCTGTCCAAGCATCACTTTCACTGCCGGCAACACCTGTTGGGAAAAGCTGTGAGAACAGCTTTCCCTCTCCAAAAGGTAGAACACAATACACATGTTATGCTCTGAATGATCTACTGTTTACATTGTGTGTGAATGTAGAACTTGCACAGTTCTTGCACAGTTGTAGTAATGTAGAAATAGTGGGCCAGTATTAGAGTAGAAATTAAAGAACAAATTTTGAGCCATATAAAGCAACAAAGATTTATTTGTGTATTAATTAAGACTTATTTTTTCCACCTGGCCTGGGAGGGTGTGACCCTGACTGACTCCAGCTACAAAAGCTGAGGCTGCTGAAAGAATCTTGATCGGGTTTTTCGTGGTGTGTATGTGTTGCTGCTGTTGCTGGGGTTTTTTTGCATCTTTATTTTGTATCTTATTTATGTGGAAATCGTTCAGTTTGGTTGTATACTTTTTAATGTTTTGTTTCTTTTTTATGACTATTTTTGCTACATTTTTTATAAGCTGCCTTCAGCATGTTTTTAACTTTGTAAAGGAAGCATACAAATAAAATGGTTGGTTATTTTTCCATTGCTTCTTGTTTTCGTTATAAAATCCTATTCCATATAATGGCAATGTAGATATTTGAAGATTGTGAGATAAGGCTTTAGGGAACAGACTGAGATAGTTGGTCTTCATAAATACGTGTAGTGGTGATATTTTCCCAGAGAGCAACTGTTCTTGGGGCCAGGGAACATTAGTAGGCATGCTCTTCATTTTCCTTTTTTGTTCATATGTACATCCATGTGACTAGTCTGTTGTCTTTTCCCTTCTGCAGCTCTTCCCAACGGTTTTGGTACCAGTCCCCTTACTCCCTCTGCCAGAATATCTGCGCTCAATATTGTAGGTGATCTCCTAAGGAAAGTTGGGGTAAGAGCCTTTCTTTACTATGCATGACTTATTTATTCTCTCTTTCAGAGTTCCAGGCTATGTTTAAAGCAGCCTAGGACTTTTCATTGATACTGTTGCATACTGATTCTGTCACACTCTTTGTTATGAGATGGACTGTAAACAAGGATGCTAATTGAAACAAATGTATTGTTAATAGCATTGTGAATGAAGGTATCTGCTTCAAGATGTTTGAGCCAACTCTCTCTCTCTCTCTCTCTCTCTCTCTCTCTCTCTGTGTGTGTGTGTGTGTGTGTGTGTGAGAGAGAGAGAGAGAGAGAGAGAGAGAGAGAGATGGAATTAGTTCTCTTGGGAACCAGTGTGTGTGCTCCTGGCTTACTCACCCTAGATAGTGGCAAGCTGTTGTTGTCTTCTCTTTACCCCCCTCTCACCCTGCCCATTGCAGAATTCAGTGTGTGTGTGTGTGTGTGTGTGTGTGTGTGTGCATTGAGGGGTGCAAAAGTGGATGGGCAATGCTTAATGAAATCTTAGAGCATTCATCTCACAAATCCCATTAAAGATGTTAGCTCAGAATATCCTCCCATAGTCTGTTGTCTCTCCAGTCACATCCCAGTTCTGATGGTTATTTGCATATTCTTAAAGTATTCCTATTTTCCTGTAACAAATGCCTCTAGTGCTTACCTTTTTTGCCAGCTGCTCCCAGCTTTTCCAAGATTTCCTCATAAAATGATGCAAATTTAAATTTCTTCTATTTTTAACATTTTGAAGGGCATTTTGGCTTTTCAGTAGGGGAGTTCTCCTCTGAAGAACTCTGGCCTGTCCTGCATTTGGGAATCCATGTTCTATTCAAGAGCAGATTTTTCAAATCAGCTTCTCTTACTAAGAATGTGACATAAGTGGAATCAAAAGATTGACTGACTGCCCTCCAAAAGATTGACTGACTGACTGGTTCCATCTTATATTTTGTTGAATCTGCTGATGTTGATTCTATTTCTCCTATACTCTCATTAAGGCAAATTACTTTAAATAAAAAGCTCTGTTATCTTCTTTCTCAGGCTTTGGAATCGAAATTAGCTGCTTGTAGAAACTTTGCGAAGGACCAGGCATCGCGGAAATCTTACATTTCAGGGAACATAAACAGCAGCATGATAAACAGCAATGGCATGAAGTTCTGTCATTCAGGACACACGACATTCTATGACAAAGCGTAAGTTCTGGTTGTGCTCAATGTTTCAGGGATGTAGTTTGTATGCTAATAGACAAAAGCTTCCAACCTTTGGCCTATGGACATATTTCCTGTGGATATAGGGTGCAACTTAAGGAAGCCCATCATCTACAGGCCTCTTGTTAAGCCAGAGAACAGGATACCTTGACCCTCTGAGGATGCGAATCTGAGCTTTCATGTTCTCCAATTTGGCACCTAAGCTGTAGCACTAGGAAGCTGGCTTGGCAACCTTCAAGAAATTGTAGTGGGCCCTTTAGAGTGTTCTGTACAGTTGGGGAAAGGTGTTAATAGCAAATAGTGGAACATCACTCAAAATAAGCAAGGCATCATGAGGTCAGATTTGTTTGGCATACTGTGACACTTCATGCTTTGGTTTCTTTCCAAGAGTTAAGTGAAGCTTGTTAAGTAAGAAACAACCTAGCCTTCACATGTCATCAGTGAAACTCGGGAGTATTCCATCATGGCTACCACGCATGTCTAACAGAATGTTGGTTAGTAATGGTGGTGAGCTGAACTCCCACCCTCATATTTGTTGGACCATTTGTCCCCTTGGGAAAATGAATATGTTTTCCATTAGATTTCAAGGTGGACAGAAGAAATTTTTGTGGGTACTGGTGGGCTTGGACTCACTTTACTTCTTAGAATGAAGAGGCAGAGGGTTTAGGGTCAACAGGACTTTTTTTTTCCCCTGAGTGTTAACTGTCATGCTGTTGTGTATGTGCTGATTTAGGTAAGATCATGAAGGGGAAGGGTTGGGTTAACTCACCCATTCCTGCACAAAGTTGTCCTGATCCAAATTTTTATTTTTTAAACTATAGGGCAGTGGTGGGAAATAGAATTTGGCTGGTAAGCCAGATCCTTAGCTCCCCCATCTGCAGTGGGACACTTTGACAGCTGCAGTGTCAAAGTCTTGCCCACTTGTCAGTCACTTGATATCACAATGTCAGGTGACCCATTTTTCCTAGGCAACACAGCTCAAAGTCAAACTGTGTCGCCAAGCAAGATTGCAGCGAGGCTTGAAGTTGGTGCTGATCAGCCAAATTTAACAGGTGCTGCATACAAGCCCCACTTGCCAAAGAGTATTTGGGAGTGTATTCTAAGGCTCCTGGTTATTCCTTTCTCTTGCATCGTTACCTCATATATGGCATCATATATGATGGCAGGTGGGCATGGCTTAGGAGAAATGGCCTCACAGGCCATATTAAGGACTCCTGGCAGAACAAATTAAACTGTGGGCTGGAGTTTTCTCAACCACTGCCATAGAGAATGTGAAGGACTACAAGGTTTCTCTTCCTCTGTCATATCAAGTACAGAAAGACAAACTTGGGAATGTTTGAAATGATACACATTCTTGGTAATTTCATTATAAAATGTAAGGTAAGCCCCTTCCACTCTTTCCACTGAGAGAACTTTCTCAGAAATTTCTTCTCTTTCCCAATTTGGGGCAAAAATTATTCTAGCCCTTTATGCCCTTCCCCTGCAAATGGGCAAAAAGAGCTGTGCCAAAAATATCAGTCCAGCTCTAATTAAGAGCTGTTTATTTGAAAAGTTTTAGGAGCTATGCTGCCTTGAGCATTTGTGAGGTTTTAAATAGTGTATGGTCAACCATGTTCCTACTCTTTTTGCAGAGATTTGGAGCCACTGCAAAGAAAGCCCTGCTCTATGCCACCTTCCCCCATACTTGGATTGTGGAGGATCAGGGTCATCCTTAAATTATCCTGCACAGAGATTGTTTAGGTGAAATAAACAGGGAGTTAGGCAATGAAGTTGTTGCAAAACTGAAGTGTTATGTTCACTGCAGCCTGCACCAGTTGCAATCTAACAGCTGCATTTCTAGTACCTTTTTCAAAGGCAGCCCCTGACAGACCTCAAGACAGCAGTCTAACCTAGATGTGACTAAGTGTGATTAGGACAAAGTGTGGTACATCTTTCATGTGCAAAACTAAATCCACATAAGCAGCTGAGTCCTTCAGACGTTTGGGAGGGGAAATGAAAGTAGAAGCTCTGCTGGCTGCCTTTGTGCCTGGCTTAATGATGTTTTCTGTATAGCTTACAGACCAAGCTGCATCTTTGCCATTTGCACAAAGGTGGGATAGGAAATTGCTTGTGGATACACTTAGTCTCAATGTGAATTGGGTGTGCCTTCAATGTGTGATTTGCTTCTCATGGTCATGAATCCAGAGGCAAGCCTCTTAAAACCCACGCTTGCTATCTTGAGCCATACTGTGAACAGTAAGCAGATTGTAAGGTAGGAAAGGGTCACTCCATGCTGGGCTGCATGCTGGGCTGGTTTGTGTAATGCAACATGCAGTTGACCTGCTGGAAGAATTCATGGTTTGTGTATATTTTGTATTATCCCTCTATTGCTGCAGCAGTCATTGTCTCACGTCTCTTTTCAGGTCCTTTGTGCTTTTTATCTGCTTAAGCTCATTTTATATTGGCTTTTTGTTGCCCTCACTTCTTTTTGCTTTCTGCTCATCCCTTCATTTAGAACACCCTGGCTTTTCTCTTACAAGTCTCTCTCCAAAATTCTCTTCAGGTTTTCCCAAGTCTCATTCTGCACTTTTGCAGAAATGATTTCTTTCTGTTTGGTCCTCTTTTTTTTTTTTTTTGCCAGTCCCTGACCTCACCTTGCACTATGCCATATCCCATTCAGTGCAGAACTCCCTGTTGTTTATAGTAACTAGTACAGACCTTAAACAACTGAATTGGTAAACAGTACTGTTAGGCAGCTGTAGTCCTACTTTTGGGCAGTGGTTAGGGGATTCTCGCAGCTTGTCTCTTGAAGAATATGTCTAACAGAGATCTGGTGATCTTGTCTTCAAGGTAGTCCTGGGGAACAAATAACAACGACAAGCTATATCCCATGAAGCAGACACACAGGGTTTTCTTGAGCAGCAAGCAGGGAGGTATTCAAGTTGTTCAAGAGTGTGCAGAGAAGAGTCAAAGGCCACACTTCTTTTCTCAGTTCCTTCTGCTTTTGGCCCCTATGTTGACACTCTGTGGCCTTGCATCCTGTCCCTCTTCCTTTGCTGCTTCTCCTTCTCTCTCCCCCACCCTCCCTTTCAGTCCACCTGCGATTTATTTTTTATTTTTTGCATATTGTTAAGCCCTTCTGAGTAATTGTGAATTGGCTACCATCTTATTGCCATGCTGGCTAGGGCTGTATAGCTTATCATGGCATGGGAAGTGAGCTTAGGCATGCTATTTTTTCTCCTTCTCCCCTGTTTGTTTGTTTCTTTCTCTCTCTCTCTTTCTTTCTCTAGCCCCTGTAGTCTTCTCCCTGCCCCCAATTGTCGCTGGATCCTGAAACAGCCACGCATGTTTATGGACCCAACCCAATCTGCTGCTGCTGCTGCCTTATGAATGGCCTATGGTTGGGTGGTGGGACTGATTGAGGTAACTCACACATTGCTCTATTGCTGGCTTTGCCGCTATTCTGCTAGTAGCAATTGTTTACACTGTTGACTCTCTATGGTGCATTGGAATTGAGTGGCTATTAAACTGGGGTGTGGTGGGTACTGTCCTACCTAGTGATATGCAGGAACAACTTGTTAAGGGCCCCTTATATGGAAAGTTAACTAAGTCATTTGTTGAAACTTGAAGCCAAGTGAGCTTAAGTGAAGTTGGAAATTGTGACTGAACCAGAGAATAAACCAGTTATTCATGTCCTTGTAATGCTGAAAATTGGTGATGTCTGATAAGTGGCTGAGATGACTTCATGCAAACTCGTCTTTTGAGCTTGTTAGACTAGGGATGAGGAACCATAGGCCTGTGGGGTATATGTCATCCCTAAGACCTCCCCATCTGGCCTACAGTGTTCCCTTCCCTGCTACAATTAAATATGAAAAAAGGCTTTTCCCAGAGCATTTCAGTTTGTCACAGCTAGGAAGGAAAGTGTTAATATTCCCTTTGCACCAAAACACCCTGTGCTCTGCAATTAAACTTGATAAATAGCCTTCTGTTGCCCTCAGTAGAAGGTTTTTCTCAAGCCTAATTGTTGTGATGGTCTGTCACAGCCCATTTGCAATCTCCAGAAAATCCATCCCTCCTCCAGGAGTTGGGCTTCAAAACCCCCAAAATACTGTTTTCAAGCCAAGTTGGCTGGGGGAGTAAATGCATGTGATATGAAGGCAGGTGTGTGTATGCAATCCCTGGAGGGTTTATATCTCATCCTGCTTTAGATCTCATTGCCAAGAGTACAATTGTGTGTGTTCCTTGCTTGCATTGTAGTAGCACACATTTCTATTGCAGAATGAGAGCACCATCAGCAGAGCACGCTTTAGATCCCAGCCCAAGCCAGAATTCCATGCTGGTGTCTTTGTATCTTATGTTAGCATTAATGTACAGCGTTATAAAATTCTAAACACAGCTGTATTGATGTTGTACAAGCTAGTACTAAAAATGGTCTCTGGTAGGCCATCAAGGACCACTGACTATATTATTAGAAATATATACAGTATACATGAATGCCAGTTGTGTAGGCAGAACCCCTAATAGCAAAGTGTTCCCAAAGCAAGGCAGACGTGTAGATGGTAAACTGGATTGATTTTAGGCATCTCTAATCTTGCTGTTTTAGTGCTATGCTTGGTGGAATTTGGAAAGCGATTCCCCACTTTGGCTTTAATACTAGTTCCTAAATTGACTTCAAGAACCTCACCTTCATCAGTGATGCCTGGAAGTCTTTTGACATAACAGATATTTTCAATATGAATTGTTTCCATCTCTCCTTTTTGGATAGGTCAGATTCCCTGCGCATTTCATGGGTAATTGCAACTGTTTTGGTGTGATGCCTGATGCGTGGAGATGCGAGTGTGTGTCACTTATCAGGGATGTGTGGGGCTGATATACTAATCTTGTGACTGAATTGGTTTTTGGTTTTTATTGCCATGTAACTAGATTTATAGATTTTACGTAACAGGATGCTATACTTCTATTGAACTCTTGTCCTCTTCATGCATGCCACTTGAGTGCGACAAATACGTGCCAGATTTGAGGTGTGTGCTGTGTACAGAAATGAAACTTCTGGAAATTGGCAAACCATGGAAAAACAAACCCCTAGAAATTTTGAGACAAAATAATTATATTTATATATATATATATATATATATATATATATATATATATATATATATACATATATATATATATATATGTACTTATTCATCAATTTCAAACTTGAATATAAAATGTATTGTGTAAAGTTAGTACTTTAGCCAACAGTACAATTTAATGAAATTTTAAAAACAAATGCCTTAGTTGTATTTGAGCATCAATTACAAATAGGCCCAGAAATAGAGTAACTACTTGCTGAACCTTACATTACATAAAGATACCTTTTTTTGTAAAAATATGAAAAAAATGATCACATAAAGCAGGAACAATCAGTATTGTGATAAGGAAAATGAAAGTTTTTAACAATTAGGCCTTGAAACAGTCCACCGTCCATAGCGTTTATGCAGAAATGGGAAAAAACCCCAAATTAATAAAATAATAATAATCTGGAGACACAAGAGGGGATAGTGGATTGATACCACATATCACAAGCAAGATTCATATATATCTGCTTTATATTCAGGTGGTGACCTTTTCATGCGGGGGTTCTATTCCCAGCCCCCATAAGCGTCAGTGGAGTGTGTATAAGCCTTCATCTGGGTCCAAAAGGACCTGTGCGTCTGCAGTCATATGTCAGTTGGGCATGCCTAAAATGGTTGCCGCCTGTATAACAGGATTGAGCTCTTTAGTCATTAGCACACAGCAAGTGTGGAAGGCAAGGGTAAAAATACCATAAATAAGCCACATGAAACCCTAATTGAACAATAAAGCACACCCTTGAAAATACCCACAATGAAAATTGTTTCTAATCGTGATCATAGATTCCAATTTCCTTTTCCTTCTCCATAATCCGTGAACTGAAGCTTTGCTGCTTGAAACAATATTTGCATGTTAGCTTGTTTCTTAATTCAGTGTGTACTTAATTTGCATCATTTTATTTCATGCTCAAATTTCAAGTGGAGGAATTTGGAGTAGGCATTAAGAATTGTGCACGTCTTCAAGAAGTGCCTAACACTTTACATCAGAAATTAAGGAAGTAAGATAAAGATGAAACAATATTTTAAAGCCCTGTATTAAAAGGTGTCATTCACATTAGGTTGGCTCCATTGCTGGCAGAATTCCACTTGCCTAACAAGATTTCACCTGCCTGTTCTTCCATTCTGCCCCTGCCACCAACAGACCTCCAAAATCTGCTCCAGAAGGTTTAGAGACCTTTCAGAGAAAATTCTGACTGTGTGGAAGTCTGTTGCAGATGAGGAGGGGGAAGTGAAGTCCCTTTGCTCAAATACAGAAAGCTGCCTAATCATTGGTCCCTGTAGCTCATTATTGTCTACACTGATATATTGGCTCTCTAGGGTTTCAGGCAGGGAGTCTCTCCCAGCTCTACCTGGAGATTAAGCCTGGGACCTTCATCAGGCAAAGCAGATGCTTGCCCAGTGCTGAGGTTTGACCCTTCTGTCCATAATTCCAAAAGTGAAAATAGTTCATAAGTTTCAAATTTTCTTCCACAGTGTCCTTTCTTTTTCATTGAAAAATGGAGGGGAAAGGCCTTGAAGGGAGAAGGGCATTCCCCTACCCCCCTATTCATTCTTTGTCAATAGAGTTCTGCTTAAGAAGGGGAGAGGAAGTCACTGCTGAATGTAGTCACTTCTGCTGTTTGAGTGAGAAGTATGCCACAGGCAAGAAGCTTTGCCTGCTCATATTGATGCGGCATTTCTCCAGCTCAATCTGCTGTTGAATCAGGAAGGCAGAGGGAGGCTTTAATGGGCCTCCTGCCTCAGCCAGTTCTAAGGAGATAAGTAGGCTAGAAATGGCTGACCGACAGTTCGCTAGGGCTTTATTGCATCAGAACTGCAGTTCAGTGAATGGCCTGGATTTGAACAGTCTTGTACCTCAGTTCTCAGCTGTTACCATGACATTCCTTGTGTGACTAGCCCCAGCACTTTGCGTGGTTTTTGTAGGAACAGGTTAGCCTATAATTGCCTTAAGCCATCTTCAGAATATCTGTGACCTAGAAATAGTTTTTCTTAGCTGTAGGGCTCACACCACCATCATTTAGCTTGCCCTGGGAAGCCCTAGCAGTCCACTAGATGCCTGCTAATCAGTGAATTGTACAATTGACCAAGACAATCTCTTTTCAGTGCTAAGTGAACTTCCATAGCTGTGATGCAGCCTCCAGCTGCAGTCTGTGTAGGAATTGTCTCTGTCCAGTATGGGACAAGCTCTGTACTGGGAGAAAGTTTGGACATATATATTGGGTTTCACTTCAGCATCATCATTGTGTGCTTAATTTGTGCCCAAGCCCAGTACATTTAAAAACCTGAAATTGGAAATAAACATCAGTATATTCAAAGGGCTGTGTACATATTTGTGGGTAACACCACATTAGTGTATCTGGGAATACTAGTCAACAAGTTCAGGTCTATTTAGGAGTTGGACTCCTCATCAGTGAATGTTTGTATTCCAGAAATGTTGTCCCCTGCCTGTAGGTTTGGGAGCCTAGAACTATGCATAACCATGACCTTGCTGGAACTTTCTGAATCCACCTTCTAGTACAGAATCTGGCATCGCTCCAATTCTTGGTGATTGGATTGCAAATTTTGAAAACACAGGCAATTTGTGCAAAACCACTTGACCTGGATGGAGCATATAATGGCTAGGTCATTCAACATGTTCTATCATCCTGTCTAAATGTCCAATGCCATGAATCTGTCCATTCTCCCAGGACACTTTTCTGTTCATTAGCATCATAAACACCTTCTCTGTCTCTACCACACTAAAAGTAGCTAGGGGGTTGCATCCAATTATATTCTGCTAATAAATGGTTTCTTGATCCATCAGAGGCTTATATGAATTCCCCCTTCCCTCTGCAGTCCACTGTGTGCACACAAACATCCCAGAGAGTTGGGGAGCCCTTGAAGTGGGTGGGGGTTGGCAGGAGAAAAGGGGACTTCCATTCACTGAAACCTCTACTTGAATGAAGAGCTTGCTGTGGGTGTAGGACACAATTAGATAGATTGAACCAATGGGAATTCCAATTCATTGGCAAAACTAACTAACTCTGAAACACTTCTGTCACTCTGCAACTTTTGAATAATTGAATTTGAGACCTATTTCTTAGCTATTGTAACACAGCCCACAGCAAAGATTTAACTAGCTCTGTGAGCCACCTAGTCCTTCTTTATGTAATTCATTTTTGCTTTTCTTTTGGGTTGCAGCAGCAGGAGAGTGTCCCACATTTGCATGCAGCCTAGCTCTGGGGACTTGGGGTAAATTATGAGTCTCCTCCTCTAGTTTTTCAAATGGAGATTAGGTCTAAGAGCAAGAGGTAGAAACGGAGGTTGGTTTGGTATTTGTGTGGCAGCGGGGAGCACCTCTACATGGAGGTGTGATGTTTGGTCAATGCATATTGTGCGTTTTGATACTTCTCATAGCTTTCTGATAGACTGGAAAACTTGGATGATAATTTCTGTGTTTGGTTGTGTGGTAATGCTAAGGCAACATACCATACAAAGTTATTTATGCACACCTTGATGGTAGTGAAACATTAGTAGTTTACAAGAAATATTAAAATTATCAGTTTAAAAGATTAAAAAATGCCAACATCTGTGACTGAACAGGCTTGTCTAAACAAAAATGTTTTAAGCAGGTGGGTGTAGAACAGGATACACTAAAGGTGTCTGTCTGGTGTCAGTAGGCAGCGAGTTCCAAAGTATAGGTGCTGCCACACTAAAATACCCATTTCGTATAGCCAAATAGGCTTACAAAGCATTTGGTGTATTTCTGGATAAGCAAAAAGCCCTGTTACCCCTGATGACAGCCCCAAAGGCAGATGTTTCTATTGAATATATAGAAAATGCATGTGTACTTTGCCTTTTTGCAGTTAGCCCCCAAAATTATACAATTGTAAAATATAAACAAACATACCAAAATTGAAAACAAAATGGAAGACTATTCTGAAAGGAGACAGAAGTGTCTATCAAGGGACTTGCCCTTGCTGCATGCATTTTGGGAACTGAACTATTGGCCTTTAGTTTGCAGGATTAACAGTCCTTTGGATTTTCACAATTCAGTTTACACGCTTGGCTAGCCCTTGCAAGACAAACAGTTCAGCATTGCATGTGTTTGTGACATGGCGCAACAAGTGCAGTTTTTATCTGTCGGTACTTCTTGTTGACCATTTTCTCTTACTGTTCCACAGGGCAGTCAATGGCTTTGACCAAGGCCCACCACCAGGTCTAGGAGGGTCCAGACCATCATCAGCACCAGGCATGCTCCCTCTGAGTGTATGAATGGGTTGCAAGGCCATGATGGGACTCTAATTAGTTCGTGAAGGAACAAGAGCTGCTTGCAAAACTTTTCCGTTAGTGCCCCCTGCTGGAGCTGAGTGGGTTGTAGCACTCAGAAGCTGCCTGGAGAAGATCCCAGCACACACAGAGCACTCCTTATGTCAATACAGTCTATTTTCTTCTATTTCCATCGTGGACGTTCTTTAACGTGGTCACCGCTGATGTCTGTCTCACAGGATGCTGGAGTTGCACTTGCCTAAATCACCTTCTCCTGCTGCCCCACGCTCGTTTTGTACCTCTGCTAAGTTGGGCCTACTTTGAGGCTGGATGGCCCCTTAGCAACTCCTCCACCTCCTCCCACTGCTCCCCAAACTTTGCACATAGGCACACAGGATCCCAGTGCTGTATTTCTTTTCCCCACCCTGCCCCCTTTCTGGATGAGACAGCTCATATTCAAGGGAAGCCAGGGAAGGCCTAGAACTTCTCTGGCCAGCTGATACACTTGGGATGCAGGATGAACCTGTATGGACCTTCCATTCTCCCAATGAAATGATGATGTATCCAATGGGCTTGAGACCTGATGGAGCAGCCCTGCTAAAGATCTAGCTGTGGTATCTCCTCTGTGGAGCACAAGAAATGTGTGTGTTGTGCAATTATGTCTCTGTTCACCAAAGCTGGTAATTTTTAAAGTAGAGCAACACCCCTGTTTAATTTTTTAAAAATTTTAGTCAGCTTCATCCTATGCTGCTGGCTTTTGCCTATCTTATTTCAATAAACCAGTGGTTTGGGGCTCTGGCTTCTTAGTGAGATTTAGTGGGAATTGCCTAAAAGCAAGGGAAAGAGAAGGGAATAAAAGCCAGAGCAGGCTAGGGGCAAATTGCCACTCACAGCTTGGATTTTGTCAGCCCTTTTCTTGTGTGTCCTTTGCTGCATTTACTGTTTACATTTGTTTTACTGTACATAGGTTTGTAAACATAATATCTTTGCCTAAGATATTTGTACATAACTTGGGCTTTGTAGCTTTATTTATTCAGAATCTCTGAGGCATGTTTTCCCTAGGACAGTGTATCAGATTTCTGTGGTGACTGCCATCCTGTGGTTCAATGAGAGATGGTCCAAAAATAAAGATCTTTTAATGTGGACACATTGGCTTTTGCAGAAAAGATGCTTCTGCCTATGCTTTGTGTGTTGTTTTGGTGAGTGGGTGGTGTCACTGTGGCAGCTGTGGAGCAGGCTCTTCCCCTTATAAAGTTGACACAAGTTCCCTTCCACAGCTGTGGCTAGCTGTCAGTAGAGGGTAAATACGGAAGTGAGTGCATCTACAGCTGGTTGATCAAAGAGCACCTTTTTCATGTGTTTTGGAATTGTGGCAGCCAGGGAGGGGGCTCTCTTCTACGTGCCTAATCTATGTTGGATTCCTGCAGCACATGACGAGTGCAAGGAAAGACTAAGTTACACTAAGAACTAACTAAGAAGAGTACTTTAAACTTGTTTAATGTCAAGATGGCAACTGAACAGAGGAGTTAGGTCTTGCACAGCTAGCAGCTGAAATTCAGGTTTGATGGTTTCTAGTAAGATTTCCAGCCAAAATCAAAACTTTCTGCATGATGCTTCACTACTGTCAACATCCACCATGATTGGCAGTAGCATGTGCTCCTATTCATCTTCATAGTTTCTTATCTTGAAGAAAGTACACACCCAAAAGACCCAAGCTTCAGGTAGGACTTTTTCTCCTAGATGTAAATACATCAGTAATAATGGACCAATCCACCACTCCTGTACTGTCACCATTGGTAAAGTGGTGAGTGGGTACTGCCTTAAGTTATACACCAGTTGCAAAGCTATTTATCATCATTACACACTGCTACAAAAGTAAGCAAAATCTAAAGGGAAAGGGATTTTGACAGGTTGATGCCACATCTGTCAACCTTGGCTTACAGATAAAAGGTTTTCCCTTGTTCTAAATTAAGGAATGGGGGAGGCAGCATCCCCCCCCCAGTTATTGTGACTAGTATTCCTTGCATTATGTATTGGTTGCTGAACTCGGCACACCTGTTTCTCAAATGCTAAAAGAATTTAAAACCCAAGAAAATGAATCATGGAAGTAACTTGATGCCTATCACAATTTAAAAATGATTCCGTATTTAATATTATTATCAACATCATTTACTTTTATAGCACCATCAGTTTATCAATAGGGACAAACCTGCAAGTTTCATTTATTCATTTCTATCTTGATTTCGGGAGGGAGAGCATCTCTTCTAAGTAAGCAGCCCAAGCATGAATGAGTCTCTAGAATGAATAAATTTATTGTCTTACAAAAATCATTGTCTAGAAATATGGAGATACAAAGAAACAAGGTATTTGCAGTCAGATGCCTGGTGGTCAACAGCCAGTTAGGATTAAGAAATACCCAAATGCACAGAAACAAAAGCTTTATAACGGATGTTAAAGCTTGTAACCAAAAAAAAGTATTTTTTTCAAGCATGTTGCAACAGATCAAGATTTCATAGTTAACACTGATTCCTCATCACTGAATATCAATACCACTTGGACTAGAGAAGATGTGTATGTAACATGATATGATAAAATTAATACATTAAATCATTGTTATAGGCAAATTATATATGTAACATTGTCTTAGTACTGTAGTGTCTAAGGCACTTTCTGTAAATGTCAGTTCACAGCTATGAAACAATAAGGATGCTAAGCTAGGTGCAGTTAACACTGTCCAAATGAAAGCCGAAGAAAGGGAGAGAGCAGTTCCACAGGCTGTATCCATTTACAGGCAATGTCCTCATGCTATCCTCTGGCAGACACACTGATCTTGGGCATCAAGATAGCTGGCAAGAGCGGCTCTAATCTTAACACTTCTACCCCCAGCAAGGAAACAGTTGCTGGGTAGCTGCGGGGGGTAATCCAATTCCCAGGCTGAGACTATCCAATTTGCACTGAGCACTATTAATAGTACTGTACTGAAGAAAGTGGTTAGTATCCTATTTGGTCTCTAATCTGCCAGGACATAGCACCAACCCAATTTGGAGGTCCCACGGTTGAAGAGTGCTCATTATGGAGCACCAACTGCTGGCTAGTAGAGATGCTACTCTCAGCTGTACGTTACCCCCTGAAGCCCCTCAGGGCGTTTTCACAGTTAATGACCTAAATCTATTGTAAAATGATCAGGAAAAAGGCGCAGTCGGGGCTGGTACATAAGCAGAACTTTGGAGACCAAAAGAAACGCAAGTGATTGCTATACAGCTAAACATGCATAGAAAAGGGGAAGAGGCAGGTGTCAGAAACTTCTGCTTGGGAATGGTGCATCAGAAGGGACAGAGGGGTAATCCTATCGCCCAGTGCCTTAGAAAATGGCTTTACAATGGATACCTTGAAGACAAAGAGCACTGAACGAAGACAGTTTTAATACATATAAAGAAGCAGTGGTACCTATATCCAAAGCAGGCTACATCATGGCAAAGCCAGGCAGCAGTTTGCTGGGGCTGACCTGCACGACCAGGTAGTGTGCCAGTGTTGCCTAAGGCAAGTCTAGGGCCACAAGGCAATTTGGTGGCCAGTAAGGGCCTCTTCTTCCTCCTCTTCCAAATGCATGGAGCAAAAGTCACATTGGCGGGAATGCCCGCTGTAAGATATGGTGTGGGGGAGGCTCTACTCTGTTTGGGCAGCCTGTGGCTCATTGATATCACTGCCTTTACTCTCTGCATCATCATCTGAAAGCTCCAGGGAAGCCCCTTCAATGTGCAGCTGGCGCCTCCCGGATCGGCTGGAGGAAAACGTGATTGGGCCGCCCCTCCTACGAGGAAGAGGGAAAGGAGTGAGTTGTTGGAAGGACATAGACCTTTGCTCCACAGAGAAAGAATGTCTAGCTACCCACCATGCACCACATTAGCATAAAGGAGTCCCCCTCGTTGAGACCATAGCGCTCACAGATGAGGATCACAATACCACTTAAATCATGTTTCCAGTGATAGACTTAAGCCTACAACTATGACTTTTACCTGTGTAGCTTAGGATACATCACTTTGCCCTCTCATTCGTTGGTATAGGAGTTGAGTAGGGCCATTTGTCGTAAGCAGCCTGCACTCAGCCTGCCTGGCACAAAATCAGCTAATGATCTGACCCTGTAGATATGGGGTGGGATTCAACAAAATTGTTGTGTGTGCACACACAACAGGACTCCCCTCCTGCTTCACCCCCCCCTTAATCTGCTCTGGGTGGTTGGGGAACATCCTGTTGTTGAAAGGGCCACATCCCCTACTTAGTGCTACATTAAATTTCAAGCATAATGTTCAATTCTGGCTACTCAACAGCACCCTCCCATTAAATTCTGGACCACATTAGAGTTGAGCTATCACAAACTGGGGGAGGGAAAGAACTGGAAATGTTTTGTGGGGCTCATGTGATTCACCAACTCAAAAGCGACCTGCCGCAAAGCATTTGCCCACACCTGCCTTGACCTTCCTTCCACCACACGACTCACCGTAGCCTGTTCTTCAGAGTGCTGACCTCCCTGCTAAGACCCTCATTGGCTTCAGTGGCATCATCCAGCTCACGCTGCAGCTTACGGCGTGAGGCATTAGCACGTGTTGCCTCCTCCTCTGCCTCTTCCAGCTGCCGTTTGAGCTGCTTCATCCTGGCATTGGCCTTCTCCATCTACAGAGCATTATCAGAAACAGGCTCCATGAAAGAAACATCCGCACAACACGCCAGATGAGATTAGAGATCCTCTTTCACTTACACTCCCTTTTCGAGACAAGAGAACCTCTGGCAGCGGCCTAACAATCTTTCGGTCTCCATCCACTGTGGGATGTTCACGGGGCAGATTGACGAGTTCGTCCACTTTCACAAAGCAGACAGTGCTGACTGCCTTGGCTGCCTGTGCTGCTCACATGGATTTGACAAAACTTCGGTGAAATTCTTCTCTAATGCACTACCTGAGTTGGTTTTTTTAACCTTATGGCAAGAAGTTGCATGCTCCAGAAATACCCTTCTCCTGAAGGTATAGTTCAGTCTTTTGCAATTACTCCAGATCAGAGAAGCAGAAGTTTGAATGGGCTGCAGGAGAGGCTTGCACAAGCCCGACTGACTCTACACCCAAGTGAATGGGATCCATAGCAGCAGAGATGCTGCAGGATGTGCAAACGCCTGTTCACTTAAAGAACTTTATGGAGGTTATTGGCCAAGGGTGAAGAACCTCTTCAGCCCAAGGGGAACATTCCCTCCTGGGCGTACATTCTAGTGGTGGGTGGGGAACAGCAGCAAAAGTGGGTGGGACGCTGAATTCGAATTTTAACTAGGCTACTTTCTGCACCCACTCTCACACACCTTCTTTCCTTCATCCAGACAAGCGGGAGGCATTATCAGAGTTCAAAGACACATTTTGGCCGTGCAAAAACACGGAGAGTGCGATGAAGAACCAGTGAGGGGGGGTTGGCCTGGAGAAAGAGGTTGTGGCCAAGGAAGGGAAGTCACCAGGGAGTGCTCTCAGCCTCCAGTTCTGAGGTTCCTTCCCCGTACACAATACAGGCCGTTGTAAACAACTTACTATGCTTCCCGATGTGCATTAGCAGGGAAAATTTTCTATAGTCGGCTAGCCACAGCAGAGATTCTAAGTGGCACAGGTAGTTCCTCACCTGTTCTTTGTACTGATCTGCATGTCGACGCTCATCCTCGACCTGCATGAACACCTCCTTCAGCTTCTTCTCTGTCCGACGTACTAGCTTGTTGGCTGCTGCCCTCTCCCTAAGGTAAGTCAACAGAGCAGGATCACTCAACTTGACGTCAAAAAGGTAACAGACTAGTCATCAGTGCAACAGAGCCCAAATGTATACCAACCACAGGTGAAGGTTCCATGAGCCCACAGCAGAAAAACAAAGCACTAGTGAGAATAATTAGCTACCAGGCTAGGTTCAAGTGCTGGTATTAGTGTATGAAGCCCTACAGAACCTGGGACCAGGATACTTGATAGTTTGCCTCATTCCCTACATACCCAACTGATCACCGCATCCAGCACAAGTGGGCAACCTGCAATTATCATTCACTTATGTTCCATATGATGTCAGAATGAGGCCTTTAGTGTGGCAGCAGTTACGATTTTGAACTCCCTTCCATTGCATATCAGTCAGATGCCATCTCTGTTGCCTTTTCA